GTTTAAATCATAAAACTGGATTTAAGGTGTAATACAGGATTTGGCCGTAGCTGGCTAGCTGCAAAGTGCTGACTTTTGATATCAATGGGACATCCAGGAAGTATATATAACCCACCGTCATGTTTAAATTTGTAATCCACCTATACAGACCTCTATAGTATTTATATGGCTTCATTGCTGTAATATCTGAGTGCTCACAATCTTTAACTTATTTATCCTCAAACGCCTGTGAGGGAGGAAAATACTATTACCCTCCTTTTACAAATCAGGAACTGAGACACATAGAGGCTAAGTGACTTGCCCACGATGACAGAGGAAGTCTGTGGCAGAGCACAGAAATGAACCTAGGCTAATGTCCTAACCACTCCACAAACTGAACAATCAAACACTAGTTAAATGGACACACAATGCAGCACCTGGGGTAAGAAGCCTAGAGTCAGAAGACATAGGGTCTGGTCACAGCTCTGTGACTGGCTTACTGTGTGGCACTAGTCAGGTCATTTCACGTCTGTGTTTCAGTTTTCTAATATAAACTTTGCTACTTTTGTAAAGTGCTTTGAGTTCTAAGGATGGAAAGCATTATATAAGTGCTAGTTGTTAACTAAATGAGATTTTTATGTCTAACTAGTAACTATTACATTCTGAAACAAAATAATAAAATAAAAACTCTTCTATATTAATCAAAATACACAAGGTAAAGTTTGTTTTTATATAACTTTCCAGCTATCTGAGAAGTGGCTTCACGATGAACTTCAAGTCCCATGCAAAGCACCGAAGAGCTAGAACAAACCATGAAGGAAGCACCTACTCCCTCAGACATTCTGCTACTACCCTAAATTGCAAGAATAGCAGTAAAAAGAAAAGGAGTAGTTCTGGAACCTTAGAAATTAATAAATTTATTTCGTCAAATAAATTTGTTAGTCTCTAAGGTGCAACAAGTCCTCCTTTTCTTTTTGCGGATACAGACTAACACGGCTACAACTCTGAAACCTGTCATTAAGAATAGCAGTGAGATACAAAAACATCCTTGACTTTAGGAATGCAAATTCTATTATCGTGAGAAATCTACCTTCAAATTATACTTATGACTCTTTATAATTAAGGGTTGCATCAGTTTACGCTTTTTATTATAGGGAGTAAAGAATGAACGGTTTTTCTGACAATCATTGATATTAGGAATTAAAAAAAAAAAAATCTGATTACTCAGTACGTCTCCCTCCCATTTCCTACAATATATTTTCTCATGTTTTGTCCAGTTTTATACGTTATAAGCCAGGGTGCTTCTGTCACTTGCTTTTGAGAGACCATTCTACAAACTAATGCACCTCACTTAAAACTAATGCAGTTTTTCCTGATATTTAATCTGAAGTTTTCCTCCAGCCACCAAATCATTTTTATTGCTTTTCTCTAAACAATCTCTAGTTTGCCCATATCTTCCTACTGGGAACTGAATGCATTATTCCAGGCACAGTCAAACCAAACAAAGATCATACCTCTACCTATAGGAGGCCTAAATTATGTTAACCTTTTTCAAGCCACATTACATTACAAGCAGATGTTTAAATCACTGATCATTAACAGGTCTCTGTCTATTTTCTAGGTTTTCAACTCCCACCAGATCTGTGTTTTGGTTATTTTTCTTCACGTGTGTTAGTTTACATTTTCCCCCAATAGGACTTATTTTATTTTCTTGACACAACTTATGTCACTTGAGCTATTGCTAATTATTAAGGCAATGGTGAAGAAAAGTATATATGCTTTTGGTATAGGCAACTGGTGTAATTTCTCCTCAGGATGTATTGGACACAGTATATATATCTTATATAAACCCAGTTTAGAACTGCTTTTCAGAGAAGGGTTCTTGCTGTGTTCTTAAAAGTTTAAAGTTGGAAGAAAACATTAATATATTTTAGGAATATATATATATATATATCTTATGAAATTATGTCACCAAATGATTATGCACACATTTTATAAGATTAAACAAAAATTAAACACTGCAAGGAGAGGGAGCAGGGAGGAGAGAAGGTGTAAAGGACAAGATAGTTACCCTAAAAAGAAAAAGTTCTCGCTACCTGGAGCCTCCCTGACCAAAGGAAATTCAAATGCTAATTGTGTCAAGATCCAGTTGCTCAAAACTGATCTAAAGTAGAATCTGTTGTAAGATCAAAATACTGGTGAATGATTTTGATGTTATGATTCAGAATTTTTAATAAAGAACTAATTGCAAATTAACTGCAAATCCATTGTCCAGGACTAGTTTTTGCAATGCAGATGCAAAGTGGTTTTGTGGTTTGTTTAAAAAAAAAACAAAAACAAAAAAAAAATAAATAAATAGTGAATAAAATACACAGGATGCACTGCTGAGGACTATATTTTAAAGTACTTCTTTTAGGTGTCTGTATAGGCTTTATTCCTCTAACCAATAACGTATTTTAAACTCTTAAAAATATTTGAAGATTTTACATAATGTAAACAGGCACTGCCGATTTAAGTAGATACAAGAGTTTTGCAAAATAAAATTAAAGTAGCCTTCTACATGACGGCATAGTGGACATTACAAAGATACATCACCCATGCTGCTTAACGCCTACATTAGTGTGGTTTACTGCTTTCTTAAATGAAAAAAATACTTCTGAACGCTGCTTTACTGAGACAGTAGTTGACATAGCCACTAAGTTATAGACTTGTATGATAAATCTCTTTTAGACAATGTCTGATTCTAACAAATAGCAGAAAACTATAAGCATGTTTTATTCAAACTAAAGTTGAGGCATTTGCGTTAGGTTTAAAAATGACATCATCTGATTGAATTTCTAGGGCATTTAAACAGTAACTACAATATCAGTTTGTTCAAGAGGACAACTAGTGACAAGAAAATGAATCACAGCTATTTAATTGAGATTTACTTATTTTTTTTTATGGAAAAATAAAGTTTAGTCTGTAACAACTGTAATGAAACCACTGACATCAAACTGAAAAGTAGACTATAAACTTAAACTGAAGTTGTGCAGCTGACAGGGTTACATCCTCATCAGATTAAGTCATCTGTGGTCAGTCCCAGAGGCTGCTGAGCACTGTCCCTGATCCACCAACACACAAACTCAAGCTTAAATTTAAGCATGAGAGTAGCTCTACTGAAGTCAAGAGCTTAGTGTTCTGATGGATTGGGGACAGAGAGCTCAGCACCTTGCTAGCTCAAGTCCTTAACAAAAAACTAATACCAGACATAAGCATTTTCTTTCTGCCTTCCATGTTGAAAGTGAGATGACAAAACTACATACAAAAAAAGCTTGTAAAGCTGTACTGAAGTCATTTGCAAATATGAACATTTGCAACAAGTTTTGATTTGTGTACCTCTACTAGATACCTCAGGGTGCAAAATGGTGTCTAGCAAGTTTGCCTTTATAAGAACATCTTTCAGTTGCTTACAAAGGTTATCCCAGGAAAAGTAGAATTATTAAGATTATTTAACTATATGATCATATCAATGTCACAGAACTAGAAGAAAACGGAATTGATCAAAGGTGGTGTACAACGAAGTCACCTTATTAAATCCCCATTCCCGCAATTAGATCTACTAGCGTGGATCCCTGCCCCCATGCAGAGCCCCACTGATGAAGACAGGCCTCTGCACAAGGGGTCTCTCTAGTGGATTATGATTGCAGAGTAAGGGACAAAGAGGTAAATGTAGCTCAATTAGTGCAATATTTAAAAAAATAATTTTACTGTACATAAATAGAATCCTAACTATATGTCATGTAAAATGGTCATTATAAAAACCTGATAGATCGGTAACAAAATCAGAAATAATATTGGAATAGGAAACTAAACAATGTAGGTGATTTAAATGAATTTTTATTTCATGACACTTCAAAAGCAAAATGTAAAAACATAAGAAAATGACTTTCAAATAAATGACAACACAACAAATGAAGGATATTGTAATTTGCTCTCCCTTTACATAACTCAGACAAAATTTACTACACACATTAAGAAATAAAACTCAAATGAAACTTGAGAGTTTTGATTAAAAGGTTTTTGGGAAAGAAGAAATGTAAATCATGTCAGAGATGGGAACACTGAGCTACTACTCCGCCTTTGAAATTCCACGGTATACAAAAGATCTCTGAAATGAGAACAAGAACAGGTGAGATGGAAAAACATTTGGGTGAATTATATAATACTTTTCGTTCCAAAAAGCCACCAACGCATTTTATACAAGCATTGCACAAACACCATGATAGAAATGAAAGCTGTAACCTTGCGGGAGCAGAGCTGCAGCCAAACAGACACTATACAATACTAGGGGCGAATTTTTGGCCAGACAAACATATGCTTACAAAACAGTGCAATGAAATGATCATTTCAACTTGCAAATCTGCAGATCCCATAGTACTTTACACCCATAAGTGAGAAATGCAAAGTATTAATATGACTCTATGCCTACCTACAGTAGTATTTTAAACTTGGTACCTAAGCTTCTATTGCTACCAGTTAATGCTAAATGTAACTCATTATGAGACTCTTGGAATTATAAACATCATCCATAAACACACAAAGCGCTTTGTGACCCGCTTTTTGCCATGTTTTGTGCAGCACCTAGCACAACAGGGCCTTGGTCCAAGACTAGGGCTCCTGAGCGGTAGGTAACACAAATAATAAAACGCTGCCAGTTGTGGGTGGTGCCGAGACCAGGCTAGTCCCAGTCTAGGTGGGTTTCCCCTACGGTCGGATGAAAGCGGGGGGCGGAGGGGCAGAAGCTTCTTTTGCCGGGGAAGCTGCCCGGTGGGATCAGACACAGCAAGCAGCAGACACCTCCCCCGTCCCCTCTGCACACAGGGGCCCAGAGCTAGAGCGGGCCACCCACCCCGGGGCCTCCGCGAGGAAGGGGGTGCATAAGACGGGGGGGGCGGGAGACCAGCCCCAGGCGTAGGGGTGGCAGCTCAGCAGCCGAAGCCCCTGAGGGCGCGGGGCCAGACCCCAGGGAGGCCTCTTACCCTCGGGCGGGGTAGGCGGCGCGCTGCCGGGCTCCTGCCTCCCGCCCCGGGACAGGAAGGTCCGAGGCAGGAGCAGCGAGACGCACAGCACCAGGCACGAGACCATCGCCACCTTCCGGACGGTCGGATACGACATGGCCGCCCCCGCCGGCCGCACGCGCCAGAGACAGACGAGCCAACCGCCCCCCGCGACCGATCGGAAACCACGGAGCGCCACGGGAACCGGCAACCGGCCCCAAGAGTAACATCCGGGCTGCGGCCCGTGACGTGTTTCCGGCGCGTGCTGCCTGGGCCCTGGGGAAGGTGCAGGCTCAGACTCCGCCTTCCTCGCAATTGGCTGATTATCAAGCGTGTCCGAGCGGCGGGAGCATGCGCACTAGCGACTGCTGGGCTGGTGCCGCCCGCTGCCCTGAGTGGCTCGAGTCAGCCTCTGCTGCTCCCCGTCCCCGAGCCGAGCCGAGCCGAGCCGCGCCCGGGGGGGAGGGGCGGAGCCGCGCCCGGGGGGGAGGGGCGGAGCCACGCATCTCCACCGCGCCCCCGCGCCGACGGCGCGAGTCGGAGCCCGCCGAGCTGGGAGTCAGGGGGCTCAACTCCTCCGAGGCGGAGTTTCCAGTTTCTTCGGTAGGGTCTTCTCCCCTCAGTGAGCATCGTGAGCGCGACAGCCTCACCCTGGAGACCGGGCCCCCGTGTGCTCCCCGCTTCTGGGCTTCCCGTGTGTACGCACCGCCTCACCGCCGCTTACACGCTGGTGGGCTGGGGCCGTAGATAAGGGGGGGACATGGAGGGTGGGTGAGTCCCTGGAATAAAATTCGTCACCTTGCTGCTAATTCCCCTTCTGGGGCAACTGCAAGGGGAACCTTGTGGAGTTTTCCTTTTCCTACAGGCTTTACCCCAGGAATGAGCGATCCAGCTCACACCGTGTAACTGACATGTAAGGTTAATGCGTTATCGTAGGCCAATAAGCATCCTTTGTATGCTGAATAGCCTGTCTCGCTATGTAATTTTTTTTCACTGTACACTTTTCCTCACTCCCACCCAGAGGTTTGGTTCTGTGTCCTATGCTAAGAAAGGCAACAAGATGGTGTATGTGCAAGGCTAATGGAGTGCATACAGGTCTTAGCAACACATTAAGAACAAAAACAAAATGCAAATGAGAAATGGTGTTTTTTGACAGCTGATAACTTGGCCTAACCTAAATTATTCTTTATCAGGATAGAAAATGTCACCTCCCTGCCCCAGGACTATCCCCCTCCTAAATTTCAAAGAGCTGCTGCAGATACTGGAAGTATTAGACTTAAAAAAAATAATGGAAGATGATAGGCAATCTAACTATGGGGTCACTGCTGCACCTCCTATAATATATGTAATGATGGTGGTGTCTGGCATGAAGATTTTATTGGCAGTTGTGGTTTACAACTTGTTAGTAACCTCACCTTCCCAGTGCAGGGGAGAGTGGTGCAAACAGTAAAGGACACTGAGAGAGTTTAAAGACCATTAAAGTACTTTTTTGTATCCTTCCACTTGTAATGCCAAGTTTCCTCAATATCATGAATCCAAATGTACAGACTTCAAGGAGAGGGATATCCATGTTCCAAACGCCAGTGTCATTTGTACCTCTGCCAATACACCTACAGCCCAAAGAGATGTGAGAAGTTACCTTACAAACAGATTGCCTGTCAATTAAGTGGGTTAAGAGATTTATTGAAAACAGAGGAAGGGATAGTAAAACAGAAGTGGTTTGCATATCACATTTAGATTCACACATCTCATAAGCTGGAAATGCCCAAGGTACAGCAAAAGAATCATTTCTTAAATATATATACTTCTGACCATTTGCTCCTCAACCTAATGCAGCCTTATCTTGGCTGTCCCAGAGAGCTTTCCAGACCTGTTTATCAAGTTCCTTAATCCAGGACAGCTCCCTGGTGATTGAGTTTCTCATCAGGTTGAGAGAATAAACATTTCCACAATTAGTGGCTGAAATCAGGGGTGCCATTCAGAAAAAATGCAAAGAAATACAATGACCAGTCCCTTCATTCTGATAACATCACCTATCTTCCTGGCTCCTAGTTAAGTATTTCAAAGATCACTTCACAGTTCTTTACTTTAGCCATGTTCATTTGTCAAAGGTGGTTGGATTCTAAGGTAAGTATCCATTGTCCTTGGCAATAGATATTACATCATGCCTTCTGTCTAGCTGTATCCAGATAAATTTGTTAGTCTCTAAGGTGCCACAAGTACTCCTTTTTGCAGATACAGACTAACATGGCTGCTACTCTGAAACCAGTCTGTATAGTGGTGTCTCCAAGTGGCAAGAATAGATTTTTCTTGCTATAAATCCCTCAGACTCCACTTACTGTGAAACAGTAAAAGGAAAAGGAGTACTTGTGGCACCTTAGAGACTAACCAATTTATTTGAGCATGAGCTTTCGTGAGCTACAGCTTCATCAGATTCTGATGAAGTGAGCTGTAGCTCACAAAGCTCATGCTCAAATAAATTGGTTAGTCTCTAAGGTGCCACAAGTACTCCTTTTCTTTTTGCGAATACAGACTAACACGGCTGTTCCTCTGAAACCTGTGAAACAGTGTTGACAAACCCCAGACCCTCTGTCAGTATGATACAATAGTATAGTGTTCAAGTCCAATATTTTGTGAGCAAGGCTAGCAAGTACTCTATCCCATTGGAAAGAAAAAAATCTCACTTTTTCAACAGGCACTATAAAACTCCTGTTTCTAGTCCTCTGATGTTGTCATAAATATAAAGGGAAGGGTAAACCTCTTTGAAATCCCTCCTGGCCAGGGGAAAGCTCCTCTCACCTGTAAAGGGTTAAGAAGCTAAAGGTAACCTCGCTGGCACCTGACCAAAATGACCAATGAGGAGACAAGATACTTTCAAAAGCTGGGAGGAGGGAGAGAAACAAAGGGTCTGTGTATCTGTCTATAGTTGGTCTTTGTTGGGGATAGACCAGGAATGGAGTCTTAGAACTTTTAGTAAGTAATCTAGCTAGGTATGTGTTAGATTATGATTTCTTTAAGTGGCTGAGAAAAGAATTGTGCTGAATAGAATAACTATTTCTGTCTGTGTATCTTTTTTGTAACTTAAGGTTTTGCCTAGAGGGGTTCTCTATGTTTTTGAATCTAATTACCCTGTAAGATATCTACCATCCTGATTTTACAGGGGGATTTCTTTATTTCTATTTACTTCTATTTTTATTAAAAGTCTTCTTGTAAGAAAACTGAATGCTTTTTCATTGTTCTCAGATCCAGGGGTGGGGGGGGGGGGTCTCTGCAAATTGGGAGGCTTTTTATCCAACATTTCCCAGGAAAGGGGGGGTGCAAGTGTTGGGAGGATTGTTCATTGTTCTTAAGATCCAAGGGTCTGGGTCTGTGGTCACCTAGGCAAATTGGTGAGGCTTTTTACCAAACCTTGTCCAGGAAGTGGGGTGCAGGGTTTTGGGAAGTATTTTGGGGGAAAGACGTGTCCAAACAGCTCTTCCCCAGTAACCAGTATTAGTTTGGTGGTGGTAGCGGCCAGTCCAAGGACAACATGTGGAATATTTTGTACCTTGGGGAAGTTTTGACCTAAGCTGGTCAAGATAAGCTTAGGAGGTTTTTCATGCAGGTCCCCACATCTGTACCCTAGAGTTCAGAGTGGGGGAGGAACCTTGACAGATGTGTTGCAGGGGATCAGTACTTAAATCTGGATCTCAGCAAGTTAGAGGGAGAATTATGCATGTCCCTTGCCCACCTGCTCTCCATCTGCTGATCCCCATCTCTAAGTCTGGGGGAAGAACAATGCAACAGAGGTGGCACTCTTTCCTTTAACATCCCCAAGCTAGGATGTAACCAGGTTCCTGCCCTGGTGATTCTGGACACAACTCACCCAGCTGCAGATCACCACTAGTATGTGTCTGTCCCAACAAGGTCCAGTAGAGTGGTGCTTTGGCTGGAGCATTTCAGAAAAAAAAATAAGCACAACTCAAACCCAGGATCATCCCACAAATCTTCAGTGAGGCCCCACCCCTCTATTCAAGGTTTGTCTCCCAGTCTTTGCTTCTGCCAACTCCCATCCAAAAATCTAGTCATCCCTTCCAGGAGAGCCAATCCTGCTGGCAAGCAAGCACCATCTCAGGAATACAACCAAACTTCTCTCCCACCAAGAGAACTAGAGCTCTGTTCTCCTTCCTGATCAGCCCTGAATTAGGATAGGCCTTCTTCTCTTATCTTCCTAGTCCACACCTCACACTGGGTGCAGGTGTAGTGGGGTAGGGCCAGCTGGGTCCACAGGCATTCCCTAACCCTTTCATTACCAGTGAAGAGCCTGTCTGCCTCTTCAACCCCTTCATTGCCTCTGTGGGGCCTCTCTGGCTCATCACACAAAGATCTGTGGATTTTTCATTCCCTCATCCATAATATGCAGGGGAGATTGTTTGGGTTCTGTAGGATGTAAAGCATTTCTTGTGAGCTGCTGGGTGTCCTCTGCTCTTCTTTCACTTCAGTAGGATTTTAGGGGGCACTCAACAGTACTCAGGTGGCTTTGAGCACTTTTCAGGATTGGGCCTTGAGTTCTCTTTTGAGAAAATAACAGAAGCATTCGTTTTGAACACACACATAATGTTTGTGGACTATATGAGGAAAAACCTAACATTTGGGTATATCAGGTTGGATAAAAATGCTCTTAATTATTTCAGAATCCAGTAGGCTATCTTGAGATTTTTAAAGGGTTTTGCAGCAAGTCTTTATTTAAAATTGACTAAGTGGTCAAGACTTAATAAGGTTATTTCCACTTACGCATATTCCATTTTTTGGTGACTAAACATCCAACAAAGTTCTCAGCAGAATGTCAGTTCAAACTTGCAAAAAACTATGGATCATACTTTTCTGAAGGAAAGATGTAAGAAGAAAGAGTGCGAGAAGATTACAGCAAGGAGTAATTTTGGATCCACTATTTACAATACAGGTTTCAGAGTAACAGCCGTGTTAGTCTGTATTTGCAAAAAGAAAAGGAGTACTTGTGGCACCTTAGAGACTAACCAATTTATTTGAGCATGAGCTTTCCTGTAGCTCACGAAAGCTCATGCTCAAATAAATTGCTTAGTCTCTAAGGTGCCACAAGTACTCCTTTTCTATTTACAATACAGAGTATTGTTCGTATATTTATGTATTCAATGCACTTTGGTACACTTCTTTAAAATGTTTTTTCCTAACTACACCAAGAAACACTCATTGAAAGGGGTCTACATTAGCTATTTCCCCTTAAAATTTCCCATTGCTGTCTAACCCCATTCAGAACAAATCTTGATGACTTAGCAATTAAAATTCCAGCAGCTGCCTGGGATTTGTCTGCTTACGAATTGTTACTAGCACAGCTGGAGCTGCTACGGTGGAAAAAAAATAGCAGGGGAAAAAA